ATAAGATAGATAGCAATACAGAAGTTGTCTCATTGTGAAGCCATTTCTGACAGCTAATTTGTAATTATAACTATATATGCTCTATAGACTCAAACTGCCGGAACACGTTTCTGTAGGATTGTCTTAAGTATAATAAACAGACCATGGTTAAGTTGTAGGATGGCATCCTACCAATTTGCAGTTCTTCAGCTTGATATCACCAGGCTGCATGGTTGAAGGCAAACATCCACACCCCCTCTCTCATGGCCACAGGTGATTTGCCTGAATGGCTGCAAGATGGCCTCCAATGAATGGCCAGAAAGGCACATACTGGGGGGGGGGCACGCACGGTGCCTCCACATGCCCTCAACAGAAACAAACAGCTGTTGGATGGAAATGGGTGGGAGGAGGGCTCTCATGGAAAATGTGAGGTGGAAGGCAAGCAGCTATCCTGGAGAGGGAAGGGAAAGGGAGCTGGATTGCCCAACCGGGTCTGGCTTCAACCCTCTCACAAAAGTCTTTGGGACTTTTGGTAGCCTGATTTTAATGCCTCATTAACGTTTAGAACAATGGCCGTTTAATTACAATGAGTGGGAAGGGGGGGAAATTGGCTATCATGGGTCCAGGTTTATTTAAGCAGAGAAATGCCTTTTGGGGTGACTATGCTGTGAAGTTTTCAAAAGCTTATAGAAGCAGACTAGAAGTGTGAGGGGGGAAATGGCCAGTCAGAAAATGGATATGAGATATTCTATGTCATTTTTTCCCACATTGCAATGTCTTCATCCTGTTTTTACAACCAAAATGAAAACCCCAAAGGGCAGACAGTGATAGATAAAAATCAGTAGGACCATAGTATCTGCGGGGAATAGGTTTCAAGGCCCCTCATCCTGGAAAACGTGGATATAGAAATACTCTACACTGTATAGTAGACTTTGTTTTTGTCTTCTTAATAATCAACTGTAGTCTTGCTTTTGCACCTTCTTATTTAAAGTTATTTCAAGTCACTGATGCTTTGTAACTGCAATATAGCGTCATCTGAATATCTTAAATTATTGATATTTCTTCCATCAATTTCAGTCCTCCTTCATCTGAATTAATACAATTAAATTTCATTTGTCTCCTCAAAGCAGTGGTTTTGCTTGCAATATATCCTTGATCAATTATTTCCTGTCTCCCTTCCCTTCCCTTTGTATCGCTTCCCATCCTAGTACCATGGATGTTATCAAATGTCCTCCTCTTTGTTTGAGCTGGTGAACAGGTGTATCTCAGAGCCCTGAAAAGAAAAGGTTTTAGACAGGGCAAGAAAGTGAGGCTGGATATATGGTCTCACAACTGTTATTTAGGCAGAAAGGGGAGTGGGAAGTGGTGGGAAATGATTTTTTGGGTTTGAGGCACTTGCAGTAAGGAAGGATGGATAAATTCTGATCGTTTAAAAACATTTTAAGATATAGAATTTAAGAAAATTAGATCATATTTTTAAAAAGTATTTAATTAGAAATTTGCTCTTTTTAAAATGATCTTAAAAGTAAATCTGAATACAATCATGCACTGTTATTGTTACTAACACCAAAGTAGTGGCCCTATACTAGATCCATTTGCCTAAATACAATTTTATTTCCAGTAGACTTATTTATTGAAAAATTAGTGTTGACTATTAAGTTCTATTCATTTCATAAGGTTTATTCTAGTAGAAACTAAATTTGGATTTAGTACCTCAACTCCAGTCAGTTAATGTTAATGGGACATCATTCTTATTGAAACTGATAGGACAATTTAACAACTGAATTCCAGTTGCTGTTAATATAAAAAATTCTTGTTTTTTTTTCTTTTTTTGATTTCTCTATCTCTTTTAAATTGCCATATTATATGTATTGTCATCTAGGGTCTTTGAAACTTGCAAGTTTTGACTCATAAACCATTCAGAGTAGTGCATGTATTAACAGGGTGCCATATAAATCAAATAATATAGAGTAAATGAATAAATAAACATGTATAATATGATTGCTTGGTTGTAATGCAGTTCCAGTTCAAAAGATGCAATAGATGTAATGGATTAGGATTTGACAGAAGTGTCTTTCCATAAGTAGAACCCTCTTCCGTTGGCTGACCTCAAAGATGTGTGACCTGTGTGAACAAACCTTTTCAAGAATGAAGTATGTGAAGTTCAACTATTGAGCAAGTTTATCTGATGAGCATCTACAGTCCAGTCTAATAATTGGCTCCTCAAACTTGAAACCTCAGTTTGGCAATCTTTTGAAATTAAACAAAGTGTTCCATCATTCCCATTAATATTTTAGTATACAAGTACAAGTTTTGTTGATCCAAATAAAACTTATTCATTCATTATAAAACTGTCCCCCCTTCGGCCCTCAAAATGTATAAAATATATGATGTGGCCCTCATACTGAAAAGTTTGGAGACCCTTGCTATATGAAAGACAAAGCATATTGTAAACAGACCAGTAACAGCAATGCCACATATAAGATCCAAGGACATATTTTACACCATTGGAAAAATAAGCAAGTACTCATTCAATATTTTGTGCTCCATTTTTAAACTTATTAGTTAAAAGAGAGATAAATGAATGAGTCCTGCTGGAGAGGCTTTATAGACTTTGGCTGCATGTATGTCTCTCTCAGGCTGCAACCACACTGTAACAACACTGCTGCAGCTTGATTTGCAGCCTATTTTATGCTTCAGCTTGTATTAGGTGATCACACGTATACTGCAGTTGTTGGGGCACTGGTATCCACACTGCCCCCTCAGTTTATAAAATTATCCATGATGTACAAACACATGCACATATACAGCAAAAACACAGTGGTCTGCTACAGTTCATCAGAGTTGTTTCTATTTCATATCAAATGTTATCTTCTTTTTTTGTCAGTGCAGAGGTGATCTCATGCTAAACTAATATATCAATATAGTGATAAGGTAATCTAGAACAAAACTCAGTAGTTTGTTTTTTAAAAAATTGAAAATACTTTGGGACAACTAGGGAGAAACATCATGAGGGTGCATGTCCTTGCTGGCCAAAACAGAACACCCAACTTAAACATATCACTAGAACACCACCCACAGTGATTACTTCATCCTTTTTAAGAACAAAGCAACTGATCCCATCACTTCCACTTCAAAAAAGGAGAAGCCCCCAATGCAGGGCTCCCAACACACAGTGGAAAACATGCTAGGGTGGGAGCAAAAAAGGACTGGACTGATTCAAATTGGTGTTTGTGTCATGTGATCAGTAAGTAAAATGCAATTTCATCCATTTTACACCCACAGTAAATCCTGCATTATGTGACTATGTAGTCACAGCCTTAGTATGTAGGCCATAGGTCGGAGAACAGGGGGAAATTACCCCAAATGGGGTAAAAGAGAAAATCCTGGGGGTAATGAGCAGGCTGCTACCCCCCTCCCTCCCACCCCCACCCTTTGCAGCCAAAGCTTTAATTGTAAACCACCTCACCCTGTTACTTCCTTCGTTGCAGCAGGGCACTTCTAAATGTTCCGTTTGTTCAGAGATCGGGGAGATAAGCTTCCCTAATTGGTTGCAGCTGGGGATTAGCCCCGGGCAATCAGCCAATCCGGGGCTTCTGAATGACTGCTTCCTCCGGAAGTGACTGCAAAGAAGCAGCAGGAGGGAAAGGAGCAACCAAGGGAAGGAGGGAAGAAAGAAAGGTGCGAGACACCAAGGACTTCATCAAGCTCATTTAAATGTACAAAAGGGAGGGAGGGAGGGTGGATGTGTGTGTGTGTGTGTGTGTGTGTGTGTGACAGAGAGAGAGAGAGACTACTCAGAACTGAAAATGAACAGGCAAGCAAGCAAAAGAGAAACTGAATTAAGGTGGGGGGAAAGGGTGGCTTTTTAAGGTGCTGTC